CCCACTGCAAAGTCCCAACCATATCCACTGCTGTCAAGTCAATTCCGACTCATAGCACCCCTACAGGACAGAGTGGAACTGCCCACAGGGCTTCCAAGGCTGTCAGTCTGTATGGAAGCAAACTGCCTCCTCTTTCTCCCACGGACAGCTGGTGGGTTTGAACCATCAGCCGTTTGGCTAGCAGCCCAGTGCTTTCACCACAATGCCACCAGAGCTCTACTCTCTGTAGGTGGAGCCTTAGTCATTGGTTGGTTTATTTTGGGTGAAAGTACATGCACTAATCCATGCCCCACGTCAGCGCTTTCTGCACGTGCCATTCAGTATGTTGATTTCCATCCTGCAGGTTGTGCTGCCCTCCCCCTATTTCCAGACTATCTCAGCATCACTTACACAAGCTCACTGTCCCCTAAATGTTTCCTCTGTCCTTGCGTATTGCTGTTGTCACTTTGATCACATGTGGACAGTTCTTTATGAGGGCACAGTGCTGTGGGGATGTGACTTCCTTTAGGTGGCCTTTTGCCTTAGTGCTTTGGGAAACCAGCTGGAGAGATTCCCCCCGAGCCCTGGGAGTCACCTTTGCCCTAGTGTACTACCTCAGAGGGTGTGTGACTCTCCTCCAGGTTGGTTGATATTCCAGGGTAATCTAAATATCCTGCAGGCTGATACTTTTTGTCTGGCCCTGGGCTGGAGCGTGTCTTGTGATTGGTCTGTTTTGTGCACCTTGCAGGGATTGGTTAGTATACTTGTCCAAATGAAGTGACAGTAGCTTCATACGCCAGTGAACTGTGTGTGGCCTCCTGTTGGGAAGGCTGTGCCTTGCACGTGATGAAGAATTTGCTTCTACCTGCAGCTAACCTCACAGAGGCTGGAAGGCAGAGAGGAAGGAGCAGGAGAAAGCAGGAAAGGAGGCAAGGGACCTCCTCGAAGAGCTGTAACATGGGTCCTGGGCTAGCACCAGGGCCAGAGTCAGAATTGTAATATGGGTCATGGACTAGCACCAGGGACAGGGTCAGGATTGTAATATGGGTCATGGACTAGCACCAGGGACAGGGTCAGGATAGTAACATGGGCCATGGGCTAGCACCAGGGACAGGGTCAGGCTTGTACCATGAGTCATGGGCTAGCACTGGGGACAGGGACAGGCTCTTAACAGTCAGGGGCTAGCACCGCGGACAGGGACAGGTTCATAATGTTGGTCATGGGGTAGCACTGAGGTCAGGGACAGAGCTGTAACAGTGAGGAGAGGGATAGGCTTGTAACATGGGTCATGGGCTAGCACCAAGGACAGGGACAGGCTTGGAAGGGGCACTGTGGCAGAGCTGTTGGTGACAGGCCCAGGGAGGCAGAATGCTGGTGATGGATGGCAGAGCCAAGAGGCCTTTCCTGAGGACACTGAGAGGACGCCTTTCTTGAGGGGGGCCTGAGAGGAAGTGTGCACGGCTGAGGGGTGCCGAGGGGAGGTGTGCACGGCTGAGGGGTGCCGAGGGGAGGTGTGCACGGCTGAGGGGTGCCTAGGGGAGGTGTGCACGGCTGAGGGGTGCCTAGGGGAGGTATGCACGGCTGAGGGGTGCCTAGGGGAGGTGTGCATGGCTGAGGGGTGCCTAGGGGAGGTATGCACGGCTGAGGGGTGCCTAGGGGAGGTGTGCATGGCTGAGGGGGGCCCTCGAGGAGGTGTTCATGGCTGAGGGGGGCTGAGGGGAGGTGTGCATGGCTGAGGGGTGCCGAGGGGAGGTGTGCACAGCTGAGGGAGGCCCAAGGGGAGGTGTGCACGGCTGAAGGGGGCCCTCGAGGAGGTGTGCACAGCAAGGAGGGCCCAAGGGGAAGTGTGCATGGCTGAGGGGGCCTAGGGGAGGTGTGCACGGCTGAGGGGGGCTGAGGGGAACTGTGCACAGCTGGGGGGGCCTGAGGGGAAGTGTGCATAGCAGAGGCCCCAAGGGGAAGTGTTCACAGCTGAGGGGGGCTGAGGTTAGGTGTGTACAGCTGAGGGGGCCCCAGGGGAAGTGTGCATGGCTGAGGGGGGCCTGAGAGGAGGTGTGCATGGCGGAGGAGGGCCCGAGGGGAGGTGTGCACAGCTGCGGGGGGCTGAAGGAGATGTGTGCACGGCTGAGGGGGCCTAGGGGAGGTGTGCACGGCTGAGGGGGGCCTGAGAGGAGGTGTGCACGGCTGAGGGGGCTGAGAGGAGGTGTGCACAGCTGCGGGGGGCTGAAGGAGATGTGTGCACGGCTGAGGGGGCCTGAGAGGAAGTGTGCACGGCTAAGGGGGCCTAGGGGAGGTGTGCATGGCTGAGAGGGGTGTGCATGGCTGAGAGAAGGGCCTGTTTGCTTGCATGGCCAGAAGCACCTGACAGAGCTGTCCTGCACTAAAGGAGGGGGATGTTTCCGGGGAGCCTGGCCTGCTTCCTGATCCTGATCCTGAGTTGTATGTGTTGATCCAGATCTCAAGTTGTTTTCCTTAGACCACCTCACTGTTAGTGTGCTCTGTGAGTTCCGTGTGCTGCTGCACTGGGTTACTGTGCCCAGCAGAGAAGCAGAGAGCAGGGAGGGACAAGTGCAGAGGGAGGCATGGCTGCCTCCTGCCTGGTAGGGATCAGCCTGGGGTGCATGCTGCTTCTCACCATCCCCAGATGTGAGACAAGTTGTAACTCTTCGGCCATCCACGTTTCACAAATGCTGAGTCCACACAGTCTTTCCCATGAGGCTAAGCTGTTACTTGGTTCAACGATTATTTGGGATAGGTTCGATTTGAGGTTCCAAGATTTCCTCAGGGTAATAATTTCATTTATGCTGAAAAAATTTGGAAGGCAGCTACCTGGCTGACTAACTGGGATTGATCATTATCTGCATCCATTCCAAAGAAAGGTGATCCCACAGAATGTGGAAATTGTCCAACAATGTCATTAATATCACACAAAAGTAAAGATAATTTAGAAATGGTTGTAGCAATATATTGACAGGGAACTTCCAGAAATGCAAGCTGGATTCAGAAGAGGATGTTGTTGTTGTTGTTGTTGTTGTTAAGTGCCATCGAGTCGTTTCCGACTCATAGCGACCCCATGCACAGCAGAACGAAACACTGCCCGATCCCGTGCCAGCCCCACAATCCCTGCTATACTTGAGCCCATCATTGCAGCCACCATATCAATCCATCTCCTTGAAGGCCTCCCCCCTCTTTCGTCGACCCTCCACCCTACCAAGCATGACATCCTTCTCCAGGGAATGGTCCCTTCTGACAACATGACCAAAATAGGTGAGACGAAGTCTGGCCGTTCTTGCTTCTAAGGAGCATTCTGGCTGCACTTCCTCCAGGACAGATCTGTTAGTTCTTTTAGCAGTCCACGGTACTTTCAGCATTCTTCACCAGCACCACAACTCAAAAGCATCAACTCTTCTTCGGTCTTCTTTATTCATTGTCCAGCTCTCACATGCATACCAGGCGACTGGAAATATCATGGCTTGTGTCAGGCGCACCTTAGTCCTCAAGGAGATATCCTTGCTCCTCAGCACTTGAAACAGTTCCTTCGCAGTTGACTTTCCCAATGCTGCGCGTCGTCTAATGTCCTGACTGCTGCTTCCGTTGGCATCGATTGTAGAACCAAGCAACGTGAATTCCTTGACAACCTCAATCTTCTCTCCATTGATTGTGATTCTGCTCATTGGTCCAGTTGTGAGGATTTTTGTTTTCTTTATGTTGAGATGTAATCCATACTGCAGACTGTATTCTTCAACCTTCATCAGTAGGTGCCTTAAGTCATCCTCACTTTCAGCAAGCAAAGTTGTATCGTCTGCATATCTCAGGTTGTTAATGATTCTTCCTGCAATCCTGATACCACGTTTTTCTTCATATAGTCCAGCTTCTCGGATTATTTGCTCAGCATATAGATTGAATAAGTGTGGAGAAAGAATACAACCCTGACGCACTCTCTTCTTGATTTTAAACCATGTAGTGTCCCCTTGTTCTGTTTGAACGACAGCCTCCTGGTCAAGGTACAGATTCCTCATGAGTACAATCAAGTGCTCGGGAATTCCCATTCTTCTCAATGTTATCCATCCACACAATCAAATGCCTTTGCATAGTCAATAAAACACAAGTAAACATCTTTCTGGTATTCCCTTCCTTGAGCCAAGATCCATCTGACAACAGCTATGATATCCCTTGTTCCACGTCCTCTTCTGAATCCGGCTTGAACCTCTGGAAGTTCTCTATCAATATACTGCTGCAAACATTTCTGAATTATCTTCAGTAAGATCTTACTTGCATGTGCTATTAATGATATTGTTCTATAATTTCTACATTCTGTGGGATCACCTTTCTTTGGAAGAGGATGTGAAACAAGGGATATCATTGCTGATGATTCAAATGGATCTTGGCTGAAAGCAAATGATACTAGAAAGGTGTTTATTGACTATACAAAAGT